TTTCCCCCCCGATGAAGGCAAGCGGGGTGGGAGGTGGCAGGAGCTTTCTCATCACGTATTATCCCTGCGGCCCTCTTGTCAGCTGCCAGCCACCCTCACTCACGCGTCCTTCAAAGCATGCGGCAAGTCCGTCTGGTCCCCACGCACCCTCTCTTTCCAGCTCCCAGAACAAACACAGTGAATGCAGCCAGGGCACTAGCTCAGTTTCAGGAGAGTCTTCTGTTAGCACAAGATCCATCTTCCTATCATAAACTGGTTTCACAATAGCTTAATCGCCGTGCCCTTCTCTCCCCGGGATCCTTTCAGGGAGGATTATGATGTGAAAGTGATGAGGCTTCTGTTGGAGATCTTAATCGCTGGCCCCTGCAGAACTTCACTGTTCCGTAGAAGGCAGCTCTGTCTCGATTGTCACACAATACCGGAGATTCTGGAATAGCGCTTGGGAAACTCTGTTGCAGAAGAGTGGTTTTTTTGCAGCTGAGAGTTCTGAGTACTACAACAGATGCTCACATATGTTTTCATCCAACACAGCATTTCCATTTATTCTTAGAAGGCTGGGTATGAAGCTGACTTTTATTGTAGATTCCGCACTCCGTATCCTCCGCCTGTGCTTTCCTCAATGATTTGTCTGCAGAGAAACTCCTGTGTGGTGGGGAGGATGCTGAGGCATTTATTAGGGTGCCCACTCTATTGATATGCGCCACTGGTTGTTAGTGGAAAGTGCTGTCTAGTCACAGCTGACCTGTGGTGACCCAGTAGGGTTTTCAAGGCAAGAGATGTTCAGAGGCGGTTTGCCATTACCTGGTTTTAAGTAGCGACCCTGGACTTCCCTGGGGGCCTCCCATCCGAGTAGTAAACAGGCCGACCTACTTAGCTTCCAAGATTTGACGAGATCAGACAAGCCCGGGCCATCCAAGTCAAGGCAAGAGATGTTCAGAGGTGGTTTGCCTTTGCCTGCCTCTGCATAGGAACCCTGGACTTCCTTGATGGCCCCTCATCCAAGTAGTAACTTGAGATCTGACAAGTTCAGGTTAGCCAGTTTATCCAGGGCACACTGGATAGGGATACTTTAAGCCTTGTGCATCCAAAGGCGGGTGCCGGATGCCACCGGAAACGCGATCAGACGCCCGCCCTTGCCCCGCAGTTTCCGGAAACTAGTACCTCCAAGGTACTAGTTTTTTGCCACGCAGTTTCGGCTGGAAGCCTCGGTTGAGCCACGGGAGTGCTACGCTTCCCAGATGTGCTGGTGAGATCGCGCCCGGAAACTCCGCCTGTTTTCCGTCTCACTTGTGTGGCTTCTGTTACGTGTGACCGCAGCCAGAGGTGGTTTGCCATTACCTGGTTTTAAGTAGCGACCCTGGACCATCCAAGTAGTAAACAGGCCGATCTACTTAGCTTCCAAGATTTGACGAGATCAGACGAGCCTGGGCCATCCAAGTCAAGGCAAGAGATGTTCAGAGGTGGTTTGCCTTTGCCTGCCTCTGCATAGGAACCCTCGACTTCCTTGATGGCCCCTCATCCAAGTAGTAACTTGAGATCTGACAAGTTCAGGTTGGCCAGTTTATCCAGGGCAAGGCAGGCAGCACTGGTCAGGGATACTTTAAGCCTTGTGCATCCAAACAGATTTGAATGTATCCCATTGTTTCCTGCATCAGTGTGCTGTGAGGGAAGATTGGTAATAGTAAGGGTTGTTCCAGGTGTCTTTGAGAGAAAGCGTGTCCATCTTAATTGAATTTTCAGCCCCCAGTTCAGTTTCTGAGACGCTCCCCGTTTGAAAACTACCAAAGCCGATTTTCCATATGAGCAAGAATTGTTCATATGCCTTTAAAAACGAAGCCAAACTGTTTTCTCACGCAGGAGATAAGCTTTTTCGCATATGCCATTTACAGTTGTTCACAATGGTGTTGAAGAGGCGGTTCCATGTGTGCCGGAAATGCCGTGTGCACTTCTGGCAAGTCAACCCACCGCAGGAAGTGTTATTTTATGTTATTTGTTCACTGTCTGCCTTTCTCATTAAGACGCAAGATGGATTACATGATATAAAACAGCGCAGACGGACAGCACAAGACAACCAGTGACCATTGCATTAAGACTCGGATTACAGCCTTAGAGAACAGTGTGAAAAACCAACCATCCAAAGCAAGGAGTTGGGAGCAGACGCCAGGTTCCCACTCAGCCCTGCCCCAACTGCCTGAGCGGAGGATGGCCAGGGCCCAGACTCACCCGTGAAAGGGAGGTGGCCAGGACCCAGGGGGACCGCTCTGACTCGGTGGAGAATAAGGCAGGGAACCCGGGGTGTTGTCAGAAGGCGAGGCCAGGCTCAGGCTTGGGGAAGGCCACGATGGGAGAAGCCAGGAGGCAGCCCTGAACAGCAAGGGGAAGGGGCAGAGCAGGGAGACAGGCAGCAGGAGGAAGAAACAGGGGAGGCTTCCCTTTCCTTTTATAGTCTCCCAGGTGGAGCAGGTGGTTGGATACGGGCCAGGGAATCCCAGAAAAGGGCTAGGCACGTCACCTGGCGAGGGAGGGAGCAAGAGACTGAGCTCAGACCAGGAGAAAGGAGAGTGTGGTGAGCCAGTCTGGGGAAAGGAAGAGGACCTGGGTGCTGGAACCCCCGTCTCCTTCCCGACTCTGCCCTCTGGTGGAGGTGGTGGGGGCTCACACAAGATATACTATAAGCAGTGCTCCCTCTAAGCCGTGGGGTCTTGTGAGCAAAAATTCTACTTTGTGAGCTACCAGCATTCAAGTTGTGAGCGAGCGATTTGGCTATTGCATCAATTAGTTTGCTCTGGGGCCATCCTTCATGAGCCAAGACAAAAATGTGTGAGCCGGAGGCTAAAAAACTGTGTGCTAGCTCACACTAACTCAGCTTAGGGGGAACACTGACTATAGGTAGTACAGAAGGTGGGATTACAAGATATAAGGCAATGCAGAAAAATCAGGGAATACTTGCAGTAATTATTGCAGCGGATTTTATTTATTTTATTATATTTCTATCC